TCAACTTTGAATCAAATAAATTCAAAATTTTAAAATATGGTTTTTTAAATCAAATTAACATAGTAAAATAAGAATAATATCCATCGTTAGAGAAGCCTGGAGAGGCAGGTACTACTGGTGGGAGTGTACAGTGGTATATCTCCTCTGGAGAGCAAACTGGCAATACATTTCAAAAGCCTTAAAGATTTGTGTATCTCACACTCTGTGGCCCGCCAATTTATACTGATCAAAATATCCTACTGATCTACACAGAGGTTGTACTCAAAGATATATTTATAAAGATATTATTTATAAGATAAAATAGATGGACATATATATCTTTATCTTCAAAAAGTGAGCTGGTTCAGGTAAATTATGGTACAACTGCATCATAGCCCTTAATTATAGTCATGTTGTAAAAAATATTTATTGATGGGAAATGTTCACTACATCAGTTTAAGAAGAGCAAGCTATAAACAATCTAGACTCATTAATATTTTTTTAAAAAGTAGTCACACACATAAACATAAAATGCTAAAAAGAAATCTCTATACTAAACAGTCAGCAGTGATTATATCTCTATATATAGGATGAATGATTCCCTCCTACAAAAGCAAAACCAAATTTTTTCCAACTTGGCTTATACTGTCCTCTTGAATATTCTGTATTGTGACTTCTAATTATTCTTCAAATGGCAATGGCTCCTACTACTTCTTCTAATACCTTTCTATTTTAAAAAACTTCTTCTTTCAAGGTTATGAGGAGTGACATCTCTTTTAATAAGTCTTAAAAATCTCCAGCAAGAAGGTGGAATAAGAGTTTCCTGGCTCTGGTCCCCCTCATAGAAATCGAACTAGGTACTGTCCACAGACAAGTATACCATGAATATCCCAGAACTCAGGAGTGAGCTGAGACACTCTCTGGGATCACAGAGCTGAGAAAACCTGCATTAGAAGGTTAAAAAGAACAGCTTCACTCTGACAGTGTCACCCCTTTCCAAGCCAGTAAAGTACCACACGGAGAGGAGTCCCCTGGGCCTACAGTTTCTACCATAGAGAAAGAAAGCTGGAGGTGAACATTAAGCTCCCCAGTATTTGGGATGCTTCTCAGGAAGCCCACTTTTGTATCATTCCATGTGTTCCTACAGGGCTAGACCATCTGGGGTTAGCAAAAAACAAAGAAGGGGGATGGGGTTCATAGTGGCTGCAGCACAGATCTTGGCAATGACTACATTCCTGTCAATGGAAGCGCCAGACCAGAGAGACCAGTGAATAGCACTGCTTTGCAGAAAGCACAGTGGGCAGGTTTGCCAGGGCCGAGTCCCTACCACTATCACACCCAAGCTTTCTCCAATCCTTAAGCAGAGTCTCAGTTCTCTGCTTAAAGTCTTCCTAGGCCAGGAGGCAAGTATGCGTTAGCACATAAGTGTAGAAGAGAGCATATGGGTAAGAACTGAGAGGGCAAGTGGTAACAACACCCAGCCTCAGTACTCTGCTTATGGTTTCCCCAGACCCAGAGGCAAGTGCACATTAGCGTATATCTGTAGAGGTCAGCATCTGGTCCTGCCAGGCTCTAGTGACTCTGCCTAACTTCACAGCTGTGCATATAGTTTCCTGAGGCCAGGAGGCAAACCTGCATCCCTGCATATCTACAGAACACAGTAACTGGTCCTGCTCAACCTTAGCAGTTAAGCAGTGACTCCACTCAGCTTTGGAGTCCAGCCTGAGGTTCTACCCAGGCCCAGGCAGAGAGGCAAACCTGTGACTGCATACTGTGGAGCAATCTCTAGCCCTGCCTGTCCCAAGTAGTTGAGCAGCAAACCCAGCAACCTTGAAGTCAAGCCTGCAACCCTGTCCAATTATAGATTCTAAACAGCAGTAGCACTCAGCCAGGGAATATGGCCAGCAACCCTGCCTAATCAAAGGTAATTGCAGAGCCCAGCCAGCAACTCCACCTGACCTCAGAACCCAGTCAGTGGCCTCGCTGTTTGATGGAGCACAGCCAGTGGTTTCACAAAACCATGGAGTACAGCCAATAGCTTCACTGACCTCAGTGCACCAGCAGCAGACCAGCTACAGAACCCAACAGCAAGGTCTGCCTGCCTATGGTCACTACTCGATGGCCAATCCAGACTCTCAGGCTAAACAGTGAAGGTCTACCCCCTTCACCTCAAGTGAGAGGGGTGTAGGGCAGAACACTTGGAAAAGCTGGAAGAGATGGCCACTTCAAGCGCACAGAGACCAATGCAAGGATACAAGGATGATGAAGAATCAGAGAAAAGTGACACCACTAAAAGAAAGTAATAAAGCACCAATAATGGACTCTAAAGAAATAAGATCTATGAAATGACAGACAAAGAATTGAGAATAATCCTCTCTTTAAAATGTTCAGGGTACTACAAAAAAATACAGAATAAAAAATCACATGAAATTTGAAAAACAACAAAGTAAGTTTGACAAAGAAACAAATTTTAAAAATGAAATAGAAATCTTAGCAATAAAAAGTACAGTATCTAAATTGAAAAATTCAATAAAATGCTTGAACAGTATACTTGATCAGGCAGAAGAATCAGTGAGCCTAAAAGAGGACATTTAAAATTATCCAGTCAGAAGAGCAAATAGATAAAGAATGGAAAAGAATGAAGAAAGCCTACAGGTATTATGAGATATCACCTGAGAAATAGGAGTGTCTGAAGGAGAAGAGAGGGAAAAATGACCAGAAAGCATATTTAGGAAAATAATGGCTGAAAATTCTCCAAATCTAGGGAAAGACACCAACATTCAGGCACAGGAAGCTCAGTGGTCTCCAATCCAATTTAACCCAAAGAGTTCACCAAGATATATCATAATCAAACTGCTAAAATTCAAAGATAACTGTTAAAATTCAAAGCAGCAAGAGATAAGAAACATATCACATACTAGGGAGCTGCAATATGGTTAACAGTGGACTTCTCAAGAAAAGCTACCTGTCAAGCAATAATACTTTATCCAACAAAACTGTCCTTCAGTAATGAGGGAGAAATAAAAACTTTCCCAGACAAATGCTAAGGGAATTCAACATCAGTAGGCCTATCTTACAAGTACTGCTAACACAAATTCTTCAAACTGAAGTAAAAGATCATTAATTAACACCATAAAACACATGCAATTATAAGACTCAATGGTATAAGTAATACATAATCATATTCAGAATACTCTAGTACTTTAATGGTGGTATGTAAAGCAATTTTATCTTTAATATGAGGGTTAAAAGACAAAACTAATTAAAAATACCTATAGTTACAGGATACAAACTAGAAAAAGACGTAAATGTTGAAATAGAAATAATAAAATGTGGAGGAGGGAAACAATTTAACAGAGTGAAGAGACAAGCCATGGTGTGGGAAAAATACTTGCAAACCATACTTGATAAGGGGTTAATATCCAAAATATATAAGGAACTCACACAACTCAATATCAAAAAAATCCCAAATAACTCAATTAAAAAATAGGCAAAGCACCTGAGCAGACATTTCTCAAAAACACATTTAAATGGCCAATATGTCTAAGAAAAAATGCTCAACATTAGGGAAATGCATATTAAAACCTCAATGAGATATCATCTCACGCTCATCAGAATGGCTACTATAAAAAAGATGAAAGCTAACAAGTGTTGATAAAGATGTGGAGAAAAGGAAACTCTTGTATACTATTGGTAGGAATGTAAATCACTACAGACACAATGGGAAACAGTATGGAAGCTCCTCAAAAATGCATAAACAGAATTACCATATGATTCAGCAATGTCTAGGTACATATCCATATATACATATACATCTATCTATCTATATATACATATATACCATGTCTAGGTACATATCCATATATACATATACATCTATCTATCTATATATACACACATACCCAGAGTATGGGCATTGCAGCATTATTCACAACAGCCAAGATATGGAATTAACCTAAGTGTCCTTCAATGAATGAATATTTCTTTATAGAAAACGTGGTATATAAACATATTGGAATACTACTCAGCCTTAAAAAAAAAAAAAAAAAAAAAAACAGGAAACTCTGTCATTTACAACACGAACAAACTTGGAAGACATCCATATGCTAAGTGACATAAGCCAGGAACAGAAAGACAAATACTGCATGACCTCACTTGTATATGGAATTTTTAAGTTGAACTCATAGAAGCAGCAAGTAGAATAGTGACTATCAGAGATTGAGGGTGCAGTGGATGTAAGGCAGGGTATGGGAAATCAAGAGATGTTAGTCAAAGGGTACAAAGTTTCAGTTAGATAGGAGTAGTAAATCTGTGGGTTCTATTGAATAGTAGGGTGACTACACTTTTTTTTTTTTTTGAGATAGAGTTTCGTTCTATTGCCAAGGCTGGAGTGCAGTGATGCAATCTTGGCTCATGGCAACCTCTGCCTCCTGAGTTCAAGTGATTCTCCTATCTCAGACTCCCAACTAGCTGGGACCACATCTGGCTAATTATTATATTTTTAGTAGAGACAGGGTTTTACCATGTTGGCCAGGCTGGTCTTGAACTCCTGATCTCAGGTATTCTGCCCACCTTGGCCTCCCAAAGTGCTGGGATTACAGGCGTGAGCCACCAGGCCCGGCCTAGGGTGACTATACTTAATAATAATCCAAAATTGCTAAAAATAAGTAAATTCCAAATATCTCACTCTAAAATATGATAAGTGAGATAATGGACATGTTAATTAGCTTGATTTAATTATTTCACCTTGTTTACATATGCAAAAACATCACTGTACCCCATAAATATAATTAAGATAATATTAATTTGTCACTTATGATATTAATTTTAAGAGAAATTAATGAGTTGTTATTAAAACACAAAAATATGTTGGAGAAACATATCTTTAAAGGAATGCTATAATGAATAATGACCCACTAATTAATTTGATCAGACTGCTTACTGAAATTTTTATTTATTTTAAGAAAACGAATACTTATATTGAGGTTTCTTTCCAGTTTTAACAAAAACATTATTGTTGCTATAGACAAAATCACAGATAAAGAAAGGAAGGAAGGAACACTGACATTTAGAAAAGCTTAATTCCTGGAAATTAATAGTAATTACTAATCTTCTGATGTATAAACAGAATATGATTCACCATTGTCTCTGAAATTAAAAGAAAAATCTCTGTTAAGTAAAGAGATGTGAAAACGCTAAAATTTTAAAGGAAGGAATATGAGCACTTAAACAGTGACAAGTGGATATATTGGTGTTTCTATAATACATAATTCAGCTAAACTACTGATTTTTAATACTTAGAATATTGGCACATTTTCATAACAAATGCAGGGTTCTTTCTAGGCTACTTATAAAAATATATTAACTTAAATAACTTTGAGTACTTGTAAGAATGCTTTTTGAAAAAATAAGAATATTCACTACTTATTTCCTGAAAATATTAATTTTCATCACATTTTAATGGTTTTATAACATACGTTATAGTAAGATCTGAAAAAAATGATAAAGGTTCATTTCAAAATCATTAAAGTTGGAGAAGGAAAAGAGAGATGGTTTGTGGTACTTCTTTAGACCTTGTACATGTACCGTTCAGTCCCACCGCCCCTCCCAAAAGTCTGAGAAAGGCATTCAGAAATTTTACAAAATCTCTTTTCTGAGAGATTATTTAAAACACGCATACGAAAACCATATGCCTATCTGACTAAGGTGTGTGACTATGGGAAGAGTGAAGGAGTAGAAGAGCATGTAGATTTATTTGTACTGTCGGATGCTGCTGCCTTACGCTCTAAAGTCAAAAGTAAAATTAAAGTGGTCACAGCAACCCATCTACAGTACTGGAGAAGTTCCTAATCAACTGAATTGCATATGATGTCACCAAAGAAATTATAAATCAACAATGTGGATGAATTTAGATATAATTAAGCTCAGAGACTTTTTGTTTTTTAATTTAAAGAACAAAACAATGGCTGGGTATGCTGGTAATCCCAGCACTTTGGGAGGCCAAGGTGGGAGGACGGCTTGAGCCAAGGAGTTCAAGACCAGCCAGGGCAACATGGTGAGACCTTGTCTCTACTAAAAGTAAAAAAAAGTTCATCATCACTAGTCATTAGAGAAATGCAAATCAAAACTACAATGAGATACCATCTCATGCCAGTTACAATGGCAATCATTAAAAAGTCAGAAAACAACAGATGCTGGAGAGGATGTAGAGAAATAGGAACGCTTTTACGCTGTTGGTGGGAGTGTTCAACCATTGTAGAAGACAGTGTGGTGATTCCTCAAGGATCTTGAACCAGAAATACAATTTTACCCAGCAATTTCATTACTGGGTGTATACTCAAAGGATTATAAATCATTCTACTAGAAAGACACATGCACATGTATGTTTATTGCAGCACTGTTCACAATAGCAAAGACTTGAAACCAACCCAAATGCCCATCAATGATAGACTGGATAAAGAAAATCTGGCACATTCTACCCTGGAATACTATGCAGCCACAAAAAAGGATGAGTTCATGTCCTTTGCAGGGACATGGATGAAGCTGGAAACCAATTCTCAGCAAACTAACACAAGAATAGAAAATCAAACACCATATGTTCTCATCATAAATGAGAGTTGAACAATGAGAACACATGGACACAGGGAGGAGAATATCACACACCGGGGCCTGTCAGGGGGTCTGGGGCTAAGGGAGAGGTAGCATTAGGAAAAATACCTAATGTAGATGACAGATTGATGGGTGCAGCAAACCACCATTGCATGTGTATACCTATGTAACAAACCTGCACATTCTGCACATGTATCCCAGAACTTAAAGTATTAAAAAAAAAAAAAGATAATAAAAGAGAGAGGAAAAAAAAGGTTAAACAAAAATAGCTGGACACAGAGGCGTGTGCCTGTGGTCCCAGCTACTTGGGAGCCTGAAGTGGGAGGACTGGATGAGCCAGGGAGGTCGAGGTGGCAGTGAGCTGTGATCGCACCACTATACTCCAGCCTGGGTAACAGCGAGATTAAAAAAAAAAAAAAAAAAAGTACAAAACTGACATCAATGAATGTACTTAGAATTTTGAAGCTGTTACTAAATCTTTAGGAAATGTAGGGATAGTGCTAAACTCTACATGAGATACCGTGCTAAGCCTTCCCATCATGTTTTTACAATCATTTGTAAGAGTGCAATTAATCTGACAGGTGAGCTAGTAGTCAAGACGCAGGATTTATGCCCAGCATAAAAAGGTGCTTAACAAAAATGTAAAAAACTGATAGGAAAATTCTTGAGAGTCTTACAAAAAGGAGAGCAGCAGTCTATATCTAATGTTATAGACAGAGCCTTTGCTGAGGGTCCGTAGTAAGCCTTAAGAATTAATGAGCTTTTTCAGTTCCTATACTTCTACATTAGGATAAATGTTAAAAAAAAAAAAAAAGCTCCAATTATACTTTTTCATTCTGAATATACAATGCAAAGGGCAGACTGCATATTATTTTGAAAGAATGAGCAGGTACAAAAGTACCTCCTACACAGGTAGAAGAATCCCTCAATAATGGGGCATCTTCATTCAGAGAAAAGCTGTCCTCTTTAAAACAGGAAGCAAAGCTGAAGAGGGAATCCAAAATCATGGCTCTAGTCCTAGCTCAGAGCTCAGACACTAACTAGCTGTGAAAGTCAGGTAAGTCCCTTTTTCCTTTTCTACTAATTTCTAGAAAAGTTATACTGTCACTCTGAAAGATTGTCATGTTTTTGTTACCAACTTTCTTAGTAAATACATTGCACATGCTGAATGTCAACATGTGCAATGCATTTACTTAAAAAAAGACATACCCATACATATGTCAGTAAAGCACTGGAATAAGCTTTTAGCTTGTCAATGTGGATATTGAGCAACTAAAATTATTTTTATATAAGCTTCACACATATATATTTGGAACATAATACACAATAAATGTTTGTTGAACAAACGAATGAATCCATCCATTTATCCATCTACCTCCCAGGTAAAAAATGATAAGGTTTACTTAGGCTACATTAGGCATGGAGTTGTTACCATTACTAAAGCCACTCCATGTGTAAGAGGAACATCTGGCTAGAAATTAAGAGATGTGAGTTCTAGTCCCAGCTCTGTTATTAATATTCTTCTAATACTTAATTTCTGTGGCCTCAGTTTGCCCATTTATGAAAATGCAGATACTAAAATCTTCCCTCCATAGGTGAGGACAAATAAAATGATGTCTTTTTTCAAAGACAGGACTTTGAAAAAAATCGAAGTACTTTATAAATAAAAGATATCAGCTTGTGATCTCATATCCACAAAGAAGCTGAATTTAGGAGTATGAAGAAAAAGATTGTGAGAAGAAAAGAAAACTACCAGAGAACTATATCCTCCACTTCATCAGGTTTTCTGCTTGGGGCTAAGAACTGTCCCTTAGGGGATGGAGGCAGCAAACCACATTACCATGTGTGTACCTATGCAACAGTCCTGCATGATCTGCACATGTACCCCAGAACCTAAAGTACAATTAAAAAGAAAAAAAAAAAAAAGAAAAGAACTGTCCCTTAGAATGAAACAGATGCTCATAGTAACTCCTAAGCAAACTCCCATGGCACTTGACCATGTTGACTTATTTTTTTCTTTTCTTTCTTTTTCTTTTCTAAACAGACTGTATACCATATATATCTTTTACAAAATAACAGTTTATTGAAATATTATTTATTTATTATTTTTTTTGAGACAGGGTCTCACTCTGTCACCCAGGCTGGAATGTAGTGGCAAGATAGCGGCTCACTGCAGCTTCAACCTCCTGGGTTCGTGCAATCCTCCCACCTCTGCCTCTCCAGTAGCTGGGACTACAGATATGTGCTGCCATGCTCAGTTAATTTTTGTATTTGTTGTAGAGACAGGATTTTGCTGTGTTTCCCAGGCTGGTCTCGAACTCCTGGGCTAGGGGGATCCATCCACCTCAGCCTCCCAAAGTACTAGGATTACAGGCATGAGCCACTGCACCCAACAGATATAATTTACATACCACAAAATTTACTCCTTTTAAGTGCACAATTTGGTGGTTATTAGTATATTCACAGAGTTGAGAACTGTCTCTAATTTCAGAACATCTGCATCACTCCTAAATGAAACTACCCATTAGCAGTCACTTCCCATTTGACACCCCTCGGTTCCTCCAACCTCTGGCAACTACTAATCTACTTCGTGTCTCTATAAATTTGCCTATTCTGGACATTTCGTATAAATGGAATCACACAATATGTGGCCTTTTGTTACTGGTTTCTCTTAATGTAAATGCTTGACACTAACAAAGTTCTCACCCCAAAATTATTCCTCAGAAAAAAGGGGACACATTCCTTTGGATACCTTACAAAGCCTTTCATAAGAAGGGACATTCTATTACTTTATTTTGAATGAGACTGGTATAAGCCAATATTCAGAACCTCTGACTAGAACCTAATCAATTATAATTCTATATGATTATAAAAAGACTTGCTTTTCCCATTGTTAAAAGTTTAAATGCAAATATCTTATGAAATATAAATGTGGGAAAAGGGCAGTATTTTCATATGAACAGATTATTAATTTCAAACACATTTATAAAACTAAATTAATAAATTAAATGTTACATATATATTACTGTTTCATCTGCTTCCCTGCAAGTTTATCATTTAAAATGAGGGGAGAAATTTAAACTTCAAAATGGATCTGTTCATTGAAAACACAAGGAAGATTGTTTTATATTCAAGATGATTTTATATCTGAAACTTCTAGGATCATTCAAAGACAAGGTCAGATATGCTTATCTTCAGGCCTAACATCACTGACTTCTCTCCTAGAACTTTAAAAAGCAGTTGGAATCCAATTCTTAGCAAATATCTCAAAAGAAAACTGAACTTTGTAAGTAAATATCATAGAAAAATTGAATGAGGTAATTTTATTTTAGAAAAATACTGTTCGGGAATGAAGTGATCTTAAGGGCTATTGTCAACCCCCTCACTTAACTTATGAAATAAGGCTGAAAGAGGCTAACTGACTTACCCAAGATCATATTGCATGAGGGCTTGCCATGCTAAGTGCTATTCATGAATGATTTCTTAGTTTCCCACAACTGTATTCATTTCCCTACTTTATGGCTCAGGTTTAGAGAAGTTAAATGACTTGCTCAGTTACTCAGCTAATATGTGGCAAAGGTGGGATTCAAGTCAGATCTCTCTAGCTTCAGAACCAGGGGGCTTAACCGTGTTGCAATACAAGTCTTCAGCTTCTCATCAGAAAACCCTGCCCAGAATCACATGGTTTAAAAAAATCATTTAGCCAGGTTTGACATTTCTAAACTAATTTAATTGGAATAGAATAAAACATCACTAGAAATTAGCAAAAAAAATTGGCGAAATAAGAGAAAAAGATATGGGTGAGATAACAGGTCTGGCATTATTTTGAAGTTTATAAAAATATCTAAAAATAAAAAAAGTCATGGGTTATTCAAAGGAAGTCAGTTTTACCTGGTTAATTCTCTTAGTCGAGTCACCTCAGCATCACGCTGACGTAATGTTATCCCCAATATCTGGTTTTCCTTTTCAGCAGTTTCTAACTTAAACTGGGAGTTTTTCACATTGACTAGGGCTTCCTCCAATTCTAAAACAACAAAAGTTTCAGTTTCCTTATTCCTTTCTAAAAATGTGACCATAACTACTGTGTAAATACGTACCAATTTTTATTCTTGTTATCTCAATGTCATATTGCTGTTTATTTTCAAGTATGGTTTGATCTTTGTCTTTAAATATGCTAGTAAATTTTTTGTTTGCATCTCTCTGATTTTCAATCACTTTTAAGAGCTCTTCATTCTTACTCTGCAGTAATTCCTGGCTCTTTAGTGACTCCTCCAATTGATTTTGCAGTGACATATTCAATGACTGAAGAGAAAACACTGTAAGACAAAATGGATCAAATATTTGTTTCCCAAACCTAAAAAGTACAAACTTGGAAAACATCTGTTTCAAAAAAAAAAAAAAAAAGGCCTGAAATGTATTGATTTTGCTTAACAAATAATTGCATGAGTAGTTCTAAGCAGTTCTATATAAATAATACATATAGTTTTAAAAATTGATTGGCAGAATTCATAGCTTTCTTTTCCAATTAACATTTTAAGCATTACTTTTTAAGCCTTTTAAAAGAGAGAATAATACATAACCCTTTTAAAAGAAAGAATAATACATAATCCCTTTAAAAGAAAGAATAATACATGTACAAAGTTAAAAAAAATTCAACCACCACAAAATGTCAATAATACCATATGATCCCAATGAAGAATCTCCCTCTCACTCATCTCGGTCCCCAGAGAAAATCACTATTAATTTTGATATCTTTCAGAAAAACACTTTTGCATGTGATATTACACACACTTCACACACACATGCACACACCCACAGACACTATACAGTTTCTAATTTTGCCTTTTTTCCCCATAAGACCATTGCATACAAACACATAGATCTATCACGTTCTATTTTTATGGCTATAAAAGTATATGGCACCATTTATTTAGCAAATACATCCTCAGTGAATACTTACTATGTGTGAGGTATTGTATTAGAGTCAGAATATACACAGATGAATAACACAGACATGGCCCCTGTTCTCACGGAGCTGATAACAAACAAGTAATTATAAATAGTAATGATCTCAAAGAAACAATAAGATAAATGAACAGATAATATAAAGAAGAGAAGCTATTTAAAGAGGCAACTACTGATCTCCCCATTTGTCCTCTAGGCCTTCTCTCTCCTACCCCCTCTCCTCACCTTTGGTTAACAATGGAGCCAGAGTGATAATTTCTGAATTATTCTGATGAAATTGAACACTTTCATGTTGGGTAATCATATTTTTTCTTATTGCTTTATAAGATATATTTATATATTAAGAAGATTAAGCCTTTGTCATGCCATGTATTGTTTCCCCATTTTGATTATATGTTTTGAATGTATTTATAATTTTGCTACGTAGAAATTGAAAAAGTTTTCTGGGGACATATTTTATCAATCTATTCTTCTGTGGCATCTGAGTCTTTTCAGGCTTAAGAAAAGCTCCCCCCACAAAAAACATTCTCATCTTTTTTTCTGGTACTATTCTAATTTCTTTCTTTATTAAAATCTGTGATCATTAAGGACAATTAGGTAATGTTTGTCACAATTGCAACTGTATACACCCTTTGGTTCGGCAATTCTACTAAAAATCCATACTACAAAAATGCTGGCTAGGCGGTGTGGCTCCTATCTGTAATCCCAGCACTTTGGGGGGGCCAAGGTGAGTGGATCACTTGAGGTCAGGAGTTCAAGACCAGCCTGGCCAACACGGTGAAATACTGTCTCTAATAAAAATACAAAAATTAGGCAGTCATGGTGGCAGGTGCCTATAATCCCAGCTAATTGAGAGGCTGAGGGAAGAGAATCACTTGAACCTGGGCAGCAGAGGTTGCAGTGAGCCAAGATCTCACCACTATACTCCAGCCTGGGCCACAGAGTGAGACTCCATCTCAAACCCCACCCCCAAAACAAAACCAAAAAAAAAGCTAACATGGTGCACAAAGACATATACAAAGATTTTCACTGAAGTGCTGTCTGCACTGGGGAAAAAGGGGAAAAGTACTATTAGCAGAGGACCATCTTATGGTAGACCTGGATAAGCAGAATACCCAAGTAAATCTTAAAGAGAAAAATGCACAATTACATATTTTGATAGACAAAAATGTCCACTACATATTAAATAAACAGAAGCTGTGGAAAGTATATACAGTGTGATCTCATTTCTAAAAAAGTACATATATAATTCTATTTGTGCCTGGCACACAGTAGGTATTCAGTAAGTATTTGTGAAATAAATCAATTACATATGAAGAGAAGACATGTAAAAGAAAACACGTTCCTATTTTTTTTTTTTGTTGTTGTTTTTAAAAATAGGTGTATGTTATTGGGAAGTGATAGCATCTTTTATTTTCCTATGTTTCTGTAATATTTTAAATTTGTCCTCTCAGACAAAGTAATTATGAAAGCTCAATTCTTTATCAACATTTCCAAAGCCACAAATAATTTGTTAATCCTTAAAGTTCTTATACCTACATTCAAGATTGCAATCTGCAGCACCAGATGGCTTATGAGTTTTCTCTTGTTCGCTGAGTTGCTGGTTCAAAATTCTCAACTGCCTAAAGAAATAATGAAGAACTATGAATGCAAGAATCCTAGGCCAATTTAATATTATACATTACATAGCCTATCAAAAAGGATAAAAGATAAACCCACTAAGACGGCAGAAGTCCATTCATCCCCAAAACAAATGACAAAAACTAAAAAAAATAAATAAATAAATAAAAATAACAAAACTGAAGAGAAAACACTGTAAGACAAAATGGATCAAATAGTTGTTTCCCAAACCTAAAAAGTACAAACTTGGAAAACACCTGTTTCAAAAAAAAAAAAAAAAAAAAAGCCTGAAATGTACTGATTTTGCTTAACAATTAATTGGAAAATAATACTATTATTTTTATAAGGCCTGAGATAATTTATAAGGTTGCCTGAAACAACTATTATTATTATAATGCCTGAGATAATTTTTAAGGCTGCCTGAAACAACATAAAACCTCCCCTCATGAGGAAAACATTAATTTCTCCATTTTGTCTCTTTTCAGTGATTTGGGTTTTTTTCCTATTTCTTTCCTTTCCTATCTCCTCTTGCTGTTTCTCATCTTCTTTCTGTGCATCTTCATCACTGTAGTTAGCCATCTATTTTTTAAAAGATTTGTCATTACCTATAGGCACTGACTGCTATCAGACATCTATCTGCCTGATGTTTATCATATGCTGAAACACAATTTTATGCTTCTAATAATTTCTTTATTAGATGGAAAAGTTAATGGTCTTAAGTTACAAGAATATTAACAGGCTACAAGTCTTCCCTGTTACAATGAACTTCACAATATGGATTTGCTTCACGAATAGAAATATACAGAAGTGTTTTCTTTATTCCTAAGAAGTCATCACTTAAGGGGAAAAAAAGTTACCTCTATTATCTTTCCAGAGTTACTTATCTAAAAATATTTTGCCTTAAAATATTTATTTTTGGTACTGAACCTAAAATAATAGTACCCTACCTCGCATCATTCGCATTTATTAATTTTAAGTTGACTAAAGTGAAAAAATATGCATACAAAACCCAACTATACAAGTTTCAGGGGAAAATCCACATAATCTTGAAGTGGGGAAGGCATTCCTAAGTGAAACTCAATATCCAGCAAGCATCAAGGAAAATAATGAAAGATTTAGCCATATCAAAATTTGAAACGTTGTAGAAGTAAAAGCCTGAAAGAAAACACCTGCATATATATTACAGACAAGGGGTCCATAACGTTTAAAGAACAACTCCAAATAAGTAAAAAAGGCAATCTAGCAAAAAGTGAAAAAGGATTAGAATGAGCAGCTCACATAAGAAATAGAATGGCAATAACAGAAACATCATGAGTTTGGGTGGGAGTCAAAGATTTCTGGGATGGAATTTCAGTTCTGACATTTTCTGGTGTGGAATCTTGGGCAAGTTACTAAGCTTCTGATTCTGTTATGGGTGGAAAACTTGCACTCCCAACTCCCAAGGCTGCTGTGAGGTATGAGATTCCACCATCAATACTCCTGGTATGCAGAAAGGGTTCAATAATTGCTAACTTCCTCTCACCCTTCTTATATCATTTTAGTAGCAGTGCAGCTTGTTAATAGTCTCCCGTCCATAAATCTATTTTGACAGGATTGTGAAGCAAGATTACATATGGGAGAAAAAAGTAGATTTGACTTCTCTGTAAACTTAATCTGGAACCAAAGAACCCACTCAGCTCTTTTAACAAGACCTTCCTTTTTCCCTCCAAAAAGCAATTACACTCTAATGAGTGGTTTTAAGTAACTAGATCATTAACTGGATTTTCTAACTTGATTTCTTAGCAGATAGAGAAACAAAAAGACTGCTCTTTCAGAAACCCTGGTTGATTTCTTCCCAACCAGGAGCAAATAAAATTCATTATTTACTCAAGCCATCAAAAGTTTTGGTTAAAGGGCCATAAGATCAATCAATACACTGGCAAAAAAAAAAAAAAGGAAAGAAATAGAAATGGAATGTAAGCATATAGTAAAAATGCTCATCTTCACTAACATGAATTGCAAATTTCAAAGGAGATATTTTTTGGCCATAGGATTGACAAAAATAAAAGGAAATAACACTTTCTAATGAGAGCACAGGGAAATGAAGTATCTCAATTCTTGTGAGTATATCAGTATAACCATTCTGGATGGCAATTTGAAAATGTCTAACAAAGTGTAAAATGCTCATAATCTCTGACAATATTATTCTGCTTCTAGGTTATCTAGCATCAGAAACAGTTTTACATGAGCAAAAGCATCTCCCACCTTGTAGATATATACAAGGTTTCTCACAACAGCAATTATTTAATAGTGAAAAGTTGGAAACAAAATGTTACATAAATTATGGTACATTCACATATGAAATACTAATACACAGATATTAAAATGAGCAAGAGGTCCATTTATACTGAAAGGAAAAGATCTCCAAGACACACTATGAAGTGAAAGCAGCAAGCTGTAAAACAACAGTATAATATGAACTCGTTTTCATTTTAATAAAGTACAACAGAAGCTTTCCTTGATCATCTTTTTCTATGTCCCTGTTCAGATTCTTCTCTTCCCAAATGTAACCAATCTAAACTTCTAATAATTCACCGCAAGCCTCTCATTCCTACCCTCCTCTTCCCAATTGTAAACTTTCCTTTTTTCCCTAAAAATCATGGTTTGGTGACAAATACTGTCATCCTTTGGTCCCAGGGCATATCCATATGTGTACTAACACTCATTTTTTCCAACTCTTCTGGGTGAGTAGCCTCATCCGTGCCCTAGGTCCCATTCTCCTCCTAGACCACCAAGGACTCTGCTCCTATCCCACTCCCTTTATTGTCTATTATCTGCAGCTTCTCCCTCTTTACCACTTCATGTGCCTGAGCCAAGAAACATATTAAAACTCTTCCCATATTAAAAAAGAAAATCCCTCCAACCTAACTGTATAACTAGCTATTTTCATTCCTCTCATTCCCTGCTTTCAGGGATAGGCTTAAAAAAAATTATTCTACTTAAAATGATACCTGATAAAAATAGAAAAAAGGATATTTTAAAAATTGATGTTACACATGCTATATTATGTACTAAGTTTAAGTATACTGAATTTTAAAAAGGTAAAGAAGAACTGCTGCTTTTTAGATAACTTGAGATAAAACTGATATACTATAAACTGCATACATTTAAAGTGTATCATGCTATGTTCTGCCATATGATGTGGTAAAACCACCATTACAATTAAGATGTTCATCAGCAGTCATAAAAAACAATGAGACCATGTTTATTTTGCAAGAACATGAATGGAACTGGAGGCTGTTATCCTTAGCAAACTAATGCAGAAACAAAAGCAAATACCATGTTCTCACTTAGAAGTGGGAGCTAAATGATAAGAACTTATGAACACAAAGAAGGAAACAACAGACACTGGGGTCTGGGTGGAAAGAGGGAGGGGAAGGTGGGAGGTGGGAGAGAAGCAGAAAAGATAACTATTGGATACTGGGCTTAATACCTCAGTGATGTAATAATATGTATAACAAACCTCCTGTGACACAAGTTTACCTGTGTAACAAACCTTCACATGTACTCCCAAACCTAAAATAAGTATTTTTTTAAAAAGATATTCATCATCCCCCAAAGTTTCCTCATGGCCCTTTTCATAACCCTTTCTTCCCAGACAAGTACTTATTTATAGTTTGCATATTCTGGAATCACATATGAATGGAATAATGGAATATATACTCTTTTAGCCTGGCTTCTTTCACTCAACATAACAATTTTGGGATTCATCCAGCTGCTGTATGTATCAATACTTCCTACCTTTTTATTGTTGAGGAGCATTCTACTGCATGGCTATGCCACTATTTTTTTAACCATTCACCTGCTGATAGACATTTGGGTTGTTTCCTATGAACACTCATCAACAAATTTTTGTGTGGATATATGCTTTGACTTCTCTTACATAATACCTAGGAGTGGACTGGTTGGATCACATGTTAGGTATATGTATAATTTCTAAGAAACTGCTGAACTATTGTCCAAAGGGTCCAAATTACTTTACATCCCCACCAGTTAATTGTGAAAGTTCCCATTCCTTCACCTCCTAACATTTATTAATTAATTTTGAATTTTAGCCATTTTAATGGGTATGAAGTGGTATTTCATCATGGTTTTAATTTTCACTTTCCTAATCATTACTGATGGTAAACATCTTTCCATGTTCTTATTTGATATTCATATTTGATATCCACTTATCTTATTTGGTGTTCTGCTCAAATATTTTGCCCATTTTTAAACTTGATATTTAAAAATTTATACTGTCTTAAATTTTTTATACATTCTAGATACACGTCCTTTATCAAATACATGTTTTGCAAATATTTCCTCTCAATCTGTTGGTTACTTCTTCATTTTAACATTTTAACCTGTTATTTTTAATAACAGGTGTTTTTTGTTCTTCAAACAAGCATTTTTAATAACAGGTTTTTTGTTCTTCAAACAAAAGTTTTAAATTTTGATGAAGTCCACTTTATTTTTTCTTTATATTTTTTGTGTTATATTTTAAAAATCTTTCCCAATCCAAAATCCCTAAGATTTTCTCCTATATTTTCTTTTACAAGTCTTGTAGTTTTAGTTTATAAATTAAAATCTGTGATTCATTTTTCAAGACAATTTTTGTGTAACATATGAGGTAAAGGTTGAGGTTCATTTTTCAAAAATATGACTCTCCCATTCTTTCAGCACTATTTATTGAAAAGAGTATTGTTTCACAATTGAATTTTTCTGGTATCTTTGCAAAACGTGATCTCTATGTGTGAATTTGTTTCTAGACTTTATTCTGTTTCAATGATTTATTTGTCTATCCTTACACCACATGTCTTAGAATGCTATCCCTTTATGTTTCGAAATTGAATAGTACCAACTTGGTTCCCTTTCTCAGCACTGTCTCGGGGATTTTAGATTCTTCGAATTCTCACAGAAATTTTAGAATCAGCTTCTATTAAACATTAAAAAAGCATGCTTGGGTTTTTACTTTCATTAC